GCAGACAAAACACCCCCACACATAAAAATAATAGATTAAAAACATTTTTAAAGGACAGCTTAAAAGGGAAGTAATCTGATAACACTCTGATTCGTATCCTAGCTGTCAGCTGCAGAATGCTGGCATTCTGAGTGTCTGCCATCATGTCTGGTTTAAATTTAAGCCTGAGCAGAGCATGCTGGCTTCTTTAATCTTAGCAGTCCAGAGGCAGAGACAGGCGTGTCTCATCTCTGAGTTTGAGGCTATCTTGGTCTACTGGACTACCAGGGCTACACAGAGAAACTCTATCTCAAAACAAAGAAACAACCCTAAGCTTAATATAAAGGCACAATGGAAATTTAAATTTCTTCAGCTAAAATTGACATATCAGAGTAGAATTTTGATGGTGGATAAGACCAATGAAACTAATTTTAAATTTTATTTCTATTCTCTTTGAACCAGATTAATTACACATGGGGTGACTGTGTTACTATTATTATTATTGTTATTATATGTAAGTACACTGTACTGTAGCTGTCTTCAGGCACCCCATAAGAGGGCATCATCAGATCCCATTACAGATGGTTGTGAGTCACCATGTGGTTTCTGGGATTTGAACTCATGACCTCTGAAAGAGCAGTCAGTGCTCTTAACCACTGAGCCATCTCACCAGCCCCCGTGACTGTGTTTTGAAGGTGATTTTTTTTTATCCTTTTTTTTTTTTTTTTTGGTGACAGAGTCTTGCCATAGGTGGCATGGTGTTCACTAGGTAGCCCAAGCTGACTTTGCATTTGAGGTATTTCTGCTGCCTCAAGCTTCAGAATACTGGGACTACAGAGATGCATTATGTCATTCTGCTTTGTGGAAGTTATTTTTCTTGTTGTTTGTATGCTTGTCAGTTGAAACAGTCTTACACAGTCCAACCTGGCCTCACCTCCAACTTAGTATGTAGCCAAGATTAGGAGATATATACACACATATATATGTATATATATACACATATATATATATATACACACATACACATATACACATGCATATAAAATACATGCACTATATGCAATATAATATATTATAATTAATATATTATAATTAATATATTATAATTAATATATTATATATAGTACATTGACATTGCTGCAGATAAGACTTAGCCATTCAATGATCAGGAGTCCTGGACTGAATAAAAAGACGAAAGTGGGCAGTGGCCTGGAGAGAAAAATCTCAGTGATTAAAAGCACTTGCTGTTCTAGCAGAAGGTCCAAGTTCAAATCTCAGCATCCAAGTCCAGTGCCTCACAACTGCTGGTAACTTCAGCTCCAGAAATCCAAGTTCTCTTCAGACCACCAAGGGCACCTGAATATGTGTGGGTACACGCGCGCATACACACACACACACAAACACACACATACAGACACAAACACACACATGCACACAAACACACATGCACGCATGCACACACACGCACATGCACAGGTGGTATTGCATTCCTTTAAACCCCACAATGGGGAGGCATAAGTAGGAAGCAGGCCAGCAGCCTGGTCATCATAGTGAGACTCCTCTGCCTCAAAAAAAAAAAAAAAAAAAAAAAGAGGAAGGAAGGCTCTGGAGAGATGGCTCATCTGTTAAGAGCACTGACTGTTCTTCCAGAGAACCTGGGTTTTATTCCACATGTAGGCTTCCACTCTCATTCCAAGGTTTCAGACAACCTCTTCTGGACTCCTAGCGGGAACCAGAAACACAAGCAGTGCAGACACACTCACTGGCAAAACACCCAGACATAAAAAAGCACGCTACACGGTGGGCACGGGTACGCATTACTCCCTCCTGCCTTTAAATCTATGAAAGCTGCTGCCTCTTGCTCAGCTTACCACAACCCTCTTCATCGCCACGATAGGCAGCATCACTGTATCACAGATAACTGTAACCAAAATAAAGGTTTCCTTCCAAAAAAGAAAAAAAAAAGGGAGGGGGGGAGGCGAAGAGAAGGTGTTTGCCACCAAGCCTGCTGATATGAGTTTGATTCCCAGGACCCATATGGTACAAGGAAAAGAAAACATGTTCACACTTGTGGTCAGACTTCCACTGGAGCGCACCAACACACACAAAATAAATTATATATATATGGCTAATTCTTAAGTGTCCATCTCTCCTCCCTCCTGACTTTGAGGGTGTTTTTGTTTTGTTTTTCCTGTTTTTTTGTGTGTGTGTTTTTTTTTCGAGACAGGGTTTCTCTGTATGGTCCTGGCTGTCCTGGAACTCACTTTGTAGACCAGGCTGGCCTCGAACTCAGAAATCCACCTGCCTCTGTCTCCCAAGTGCTGGGATTAAAGGCGTGTGCCACCACTGCCCGGCTGTTTTTCCTAAGATGAAGGAAAAAAAAGTGGGAAATACAAAACCGTGGTCCTTGGGAGTGAACTAAGGATTTACTAAAGGCTAAGGGAGATGGCCCAGCTCTCAGGACTTGTGTGTCCCCGTGCCAGCACTCAGCGGAGGTTCACATACACACTGACAACAGAGCTCACTAAGAACCAGCCTGCAGCAATTAGAAGGGACACCATCCACACTTTAGAGCAAGAGCAACTTCTAGGAACTCCGGCAGCCGGCGTAGCTTCCAGAGGGCTCTGGCCTTTCTTGTTCTCACCTTGATCTCTCCTTTTTATCACTTTCAGAAAATGTGTAAGCACAGTTGATTTTTTTCCCCCACTCAACTCGTGGGAAATGTCTCAATTGCATTGTAGAGGAATAGAATTCTAGGAATAGGCAGGCCTCCACAAAACCTCAAGAGTACTTCTATGGAAAGGAGCAAACGCTGGCTTTTGACACCACTGACCCGAGGCACAGAGACAGACCTTAAAGGGCCACCCTGGTGGGTTCTCAACGTCCCATTTCCTCCCAATTCACCTCAAGTCTCCCAGCTGTTTTCTCACAAAGCAGAACTTTAGGAGACTGGTCTGTGCTCTAGCCAGACAGAATCATAATGGGTGCTTCCTCCATTATCCACAGGAGGGGATTTAGAAGCGGTGGTCCGGCCCTGTAGAAGCCCCCCCAGCAGTCCCTGCAGACCCCAATGTCCAAACTCTTCGATTTCTATGCACTCTCTTGGGCCTTGGGGCAGGATTCCCATTCTCTGCCTCGCCATCTCCCTGGAATTTTCCACTGCAGCTGCCTCCGCTCCCAGACACCCCTCCCTGGGCAAAATTCCCGGCTCCCTCCGCCTCCCCTTCCCTAATCACACCTCATTCCCACCCCCGAGCCTTGAGGCCCAGCCCACAGCCCAACCCACTCCCCAACGGTCCGTCCTACACCTCACTGCAACCCTGGTGGTCCCAGTTAGAGAAATGGGAAGCTAGGCCCTTTATGAGAGGGTCCCAATCTCCTTCCTAGGCCAGAGTGAAAGGACAGTGGTGGGGCTCGTCCCTTGTGGGGCGGGAGTGGGGGGAGTGGCCCTCTTCACATCCCCTTATAAGGCAGGGCAAGTAGTTAGGATCTTGGATTGGCTGATTCAAATGAGCATTCCACCTGGCAACAGGGTTTCTATTGGCTCTCAGGAAAAACAGGAGGAAGGTGGATGGAGGTTGTTGGTGGCGGTGATTGGAGGGGGGAGGGGAGTGGAGGTGACCGGAGTTGAGGGCGGTTACCAGGGCAACAGGGTAAGAGCCCAGCAGGGTGTCCGAGACAGCAGGCGGGGCTGAGAGGTGGAGTAGAAGGCAGAGAAAACAGAAGGCGGGAGGGAGTGGAAAGAGATCAACCCAGAGGCCCCCCCACCGGGGGGGGGGGCGTAGCGGGGGGGAAGATAAATGAAGCAAGAGAGGGTACAGAGATGGAATACGGTGAGAGATTGCTAAAGACACCACTCACTGAAGTCTGAGAAGCGCATTAAAAAGGGGAAATGGAAAAGATCTCAGAGAAAAGGTGGACCGAATCCTGCCAGGAAAAACCAGGGTGGGGCGCTAAGATTAATGAGACCAAGGAACTGAATTTAGAGTCAGAGCAACCAGGAGATGTGTACAAGGAACCGAACGATGGTGTGTTGACACGCTCACATGCTAAATGATGATGGGCGATCAACAATGGCTTCTTTTTTTTCTAATTTTTTTTTGGGGGTGGGCGGAAAGATGTCTCACTGCGTTGCCCAGGATGCTCTCAAACTAGTGGCAATCCTCCTGCCTCAGCTTCCCACGTGCTGAATAGGTCATCTGGCTAAAGGTGATGTTTTTCATTAAGGAAATAAAAATGATTTGGAAAAAGTGAGGGGTAATGTGGTGACAGATAGCACACACATACACCAAAGACAATCTTTTTCTAAAGCCCAGTCTTCTTCATCCACCTTTCGGAACCTCAGATTCACAGGCTATCCCATCTCTTTCTGAAATCCCAGGGTTCTCAAAATGATCTAAAGATGCTGAACCTAGGGGCGAGGCGCTGAGGATTAAGTGCTATAGGGTGTGGCTGGAACCCCGTTTCTGGACCTGTGTGTGCAAAAAAGGCTAATTGAATTGAGAAAGCAGCAGAAGACAGAGAAGAGCAACGAGAGGAAAAATGTAAAAGGACAAGAAAGAGAGTTGAAAATTAGCTAAGTTTATAGGGCCAGGTGACAGAGTCAGGTAAGATAACAACACTGTTGTCTGGGGAGAAGTAGACTGAGACACCTGCGATGTAGACGGTTGTAAGGGAGGGGTCTCGGTCTATATGAATGAAGAGAGGTGAAGGGAAAGAGAAGGACCAGACAATTAAGTGAGGTGAGACAGGTAAGAAGAGGGAAGAATAAAGAGGCAGAGGGCCCCTCACATCCCAGGACACAGACGGGAAGGAACCCGCCAAGGACCACAAATGTCAAGTCCAGCCGAGAAGGCCCAAGCTGTCCTTTGTATTCTCTTTCCTCAAGGCCACCTAGAGAAGGCGGACAAGAGCGAGAAATGGAAGTGGCTCGGCAGCCTTCTTCCTCTTCTTTCAGCTTTTGGTTTCTCAGATACCTGCCCAGCCTCTACATCTGCTCCCCTCCCAACCCCCCGCCCTTTAGCAAAATCTCAGGGCTTTGAGGAGGTCAGCAGGAGTCTGGCCACCTCTCCAGTCCGCCCCCAGGAGCCAGACTCCAGCTCGCAGGCAGTAGGCTGGCATTTGGAGCGGTGTCTCCCCGCAGGAACCCCACCCCTTCCCACCTCCTCGCCCCCCTCCGCTCTCTCCGGAGCCGTCAGTCTCTCCATTTCCCCCTCCCGGTCTCGTCCTTCCTCCCGTCCCGCTCGCTCTCCCGCCCTTCGCTTTCATCCTCCTATCCCCACCTCTCCAACCTCCTCTTTCATCCCCCTCCCCTCTCCTCTCCTCCCCGCTCCCGCCTGCCCCACCCCTGGGAAGCCCCTCCCGTCGGGCAGCGCCGCCTTAAAAGCGGGTTCCCTTCCCGGGGGCGGCAGCGGCTGGTCGGCGGCAGCTCTGCTGGTGCGGGGGCGGCGAGCAAGACCGAGCGACCGCGACCGGAGCGCGCCGGCCACCGCCCGCATCATCCTCCCGCCCGCCCTCCGGACGGCCGCAGCCCTGCGGGTCTCCGCTCGGGACCCACCCCCGCCCCACCCCGCGCGCCTCTGCCGCCTCTTGCAGCGAGCCAGCTTGCCGAGCGGCCGTCGCTGCCGCCGCCGCCACCGCGCCAAGTTCCGGCCGCGGCCACTCTCCGCCGTCCAGGGCTCCTCCGCCTCGGCCCCGGGACCCCGGCTCCCCGCCAGCCCCGGCCCCGGCACCATGTCGGAGAAGAGCGTGGAGGCAGCGGCCGAGCTGAGCGCCAAGGTACGGGCAGGGGCGGCGGCGGCCCGGCACCCGGGCGGCCCCGGGATCGGCACGATCCTTCGCTCCCGGTCGCCCCCGACGGCCCCGAGCGGCCCTGGCGCCCGGTCCCCGCGGACCCCGCTGCGCCCTCCCCCCCGCTCGGAGCCCGGCGCTGCCTACCCGGCTCGGCGCCGCCGGCGCCCTCTAGCGGCCCAGCGCGCCGTGGCTCGGGCCTCACCGCCCGGCCTGCGCCCGGCCCCGCCATCCCCACCCCTCTCGTGCCCCGCCGCGCCCGGCTTGGCCCGGTCCGCCCTCCCGTCGGAGAACGGCGCCTCTGGCTTCCCGGGCCCCATGTCCGAGCCGTGGCTCTAGGTCTCTTTCCACTATGACTTCACCTTTCCTCTGCTAAGCGGGTTGGGATCCTCGAGTGTAAACAGGACTCTCCCGGGAGGCTACTCCTCGGCTCCTCCCCTCGCCGCCCGACCGTCTGTCCTCGTCCCCGTAGGGCTGCGCCTCTCCTGCACCCCCCGTTTTTTTCCCCCCATTCTTATTTGTTCTTCCTCGACTACCGACTTCCAATTTTCTCATTTTCGCCCCCCTTATGTCGAATTTCTAAAAATCAGAAAGGTGGAGAGACTAGCCTTCGAAAAAGCCCAAGCTCAGCATCGCCTGACCATCCGTCAGGCTGCCTTTGCTCTCAGCAGCTGCCTCTCCCGGCCTCATCCCTTTGCCCTTGTCTCTCTTTCAGCCTTCCTCTAATTTCCCCAGGGAAACTGCGGAGTGTCGCTTAGGGAAATTAATGCGGCCAGGCTTGGGGGCTGGGAGCCCAGTCTTTTTATGGAGGTGGGGGGCGCAGTATAGTTTTCGAGGTCCAAGTGGAAGGGGGGAGCTAGTAGAATGAAAGGCAGTGGGAGACGGGACATGTGAGATCTGATAAGGTGTGCCTGTGTGGCCCTCCGGTGGGTTGTGCGGTGGCATGTGACTTCACTGAGTAGGCGTCTTTGTATGTCTGAGATCCAGCGAGTGTGTGGGACTGCCCGTGTCAGTTACATGTGTGCATGTGGAGACTGAGATGTCCTGGAGGCATGGTGCTTTGTGAGTACCGAGTGGCTACACTGGGCTCCTGTGAGAGTGTGCCAGAATGCCCAAACATTGGGCCATGTGTCTCCAGAGCGTGTGGGCGCTCCCCTGCAGATGTGTGAGTTGGTGTTAGCCTGGGTGAGCTTGTGTGCCCCTGTAGAGGCCAGAGAGCTGCTTAGCAGCTGGGGGAAGGTCACATACCCTCCTGGAAAAGAGATCATGGAAGGACAGTGACCAGGACAGGACCCAGGAGGAGAGGGGCCAACCCTGTGGACTTTGGTCTCTGGTATTCTCCCTCCCTTCCCCTCACCCCTCCATCAACCCCAATAGAAAACTCAGGCCAGGGTCTGGCTCAGGCTAAGCTGACTTAGTCCCTGCCTAGCCCGGGATGTAAGAGAAAGCCCACCTGGTAGTACAAGTGCCAGACCCCCACCATGTGACAGAAGTGACAAATTAGAATGAGGAAACCTGTGTGGTGTGAGAGGGTCAAGTGTTTTGTGCTTTTCCTGAAGGGAGAAGGGAGTGGCGTGTCCCCAGGCCAGTCATTTGGCACCAAGTCCCTCTTCTACCTCAGTCTTGTTCTAGAAAGGGCACATCCTCCTGGGGTGATCTACTTACGAAAACTCCGAGCCACTTGGGGTCATGTACACAAGAGTTGCACACTAACATTAGATAGGGTCGAAGGAGAAGGTGGCCCCTGCCAAGGCGTAGAATCTTCATGGGGTGGGAAGGCTGGTGTGTCCAGAGGGGCTTACCCACTGTCAGAATAGGACCTCAAGCACCTGCTGGGCTTTTGGCGTGACGGCGGACAGCCTGGTGGGAGGGGCTCTGGGCAGGTAACTCCCACCTTCCCACCCGGGCGCACACTTGTTTGTTGTTCCTCGGCGTGCGTGAAGGTGGAGCGCGCAGGGAACGCTCAGACTGGCTAGATTGGGGCTAGAAACCGACGTGGGGACACGTTAGGGTGCTCTCCGTACCCCTGTGCTGTTAGGCCAAGTAGGAACAGGAGGATTAGGGAGACACAACAGGGAAACAAAGACCTCAGACGCTGAAGGGGAAGCTGGGAGGGCTGCCCAGGAGAGAGAGTACTCAGGCAAAGGCCCCTGAGGTAGACAAAAGGCGGAGCGGGGGCAAGCAGAGAGGGTGAGGGGGTGGGGCATCCAGGCTGCCAGCAGATGGGGGATTTGCTTTGTGGAGCTCAACTCTTAAGCCAGGCAGGGGAGGTTTGTTTGGAAGAACTTGATGGGTGGGAGCCCCGGCTACTCTGGCCACTTCTCATCACTTGCCCACTTCACTCCCCTTGGGTCCTGGGGACAAAAGTATATGGTATCAGCCAATTATGGTTCAAATCTAAGGCCCCCCGAGGGTCTCCTGGTGTGACTCAATCTGTGTCCACCTTCACTTACCACCTTTGACGTAGCTGCAGAGTTGGAGGGACTCGAGGGCTGTCTGTCATCCCTGCTGAGAGAAAGGTGACCTTCTGTCTTGCAGGACCTGAAGGAAAAGAAGGACAAGGTGGAGGAGAAGGCTGGGCGGAAAGAACGGAAGAAAGAAGTAGTGGAGGTGTGAAGGCAGTGGGCGGAAGATGACCACACTCTGCCCAGACATCCTTCCTCCCCTCTTACTTCTGGGGGTGCTGGGGTCCTGTCATTCTCTCAACCTCATTCCTTCCCTACCCCGAGGCTCCTGAGTCCCTTTATCACCCTGTGAGTGGCAGCACAGCCAGCTTGACAGCCATCATTCCTTGTCTTGGTCCCTATAGGAGGAGGAGAATGGAGCCGAGGAGGAGGAAGAAGAGACTGCTGAGGATGGAGAGGATGATGATGAAGGGGATGAAGAAGGTAGAGACAGGCAGGGAAGGCTGAGCTGCAAAGTTAAGACTCAGAAGGGAGCAGTTGAGGACTGGAAGCTGGGATGGGGCTGGGGGGGGCCTGTGCCCAGAGCCACCCAACCTTCTCCAGTGACTCGTTTCTGGTTCCTCAGATGAGGAAGAGGAGGAGGAGGAGGATGAAGGCCCCGTGCGGAAGAGAACTGCTGAAGAGGAGGTTGGAGCTGGGTTGGAGGCTGAGGGGCTGTCAGGAACATAGCAGGGGGCTGGGTGGCCTTTGGCTTTGGACCCAGGTCCTTGTGGGTGGCATGGACAGGCAGGGGCTGGAGCAGGGCCAGCAGAAACAGGGGGAGGTCTCCTTTGTACAGCTGTTATCCTCTCCACAGGATGAAGCCGATCCCAAGAGGCAGAAGACAGAAAACGGGGCGTCGGCATGAACCCCTGCCCGTGGGCTTGGGGATGGGAGGCCCCTCAGGTCCTGGAGGTGGGGCAGGAACACACAAATCCAGCCCCCCTTCTCCTGGCTCCCTGCTCTGGTCCTGCCCCAGAGCTGTGACCCTTGTCCTTTGACCCAGCCTCTCATTTCCATTTCCAGACACTGCCCCTTCACCCTCACTGCCACCGGTCCAGCTCCCGACCCACCTCATCCAAGCTCCCCAGCCAGTCCTCACTGGTCCTAGCATTCCTTGTTTCCTGCCTTCCCTCACCATCCCATCTGGTCCAGTCCTTGCAAAGCCTCTCCTTCCCCTCTGCACCCCGAGCCTCTCAGCCTGCCCTTCTCTCTCCTGCCTGACCCCTGGGTCTCCCTCAGATTCCCTCCTCTCAGACAGCGCCAGGCCGGGGTGGGGCTGGGGTTGGGGCTAAGCCCCGAAGCTGCCCCCTCCCCTTTTTGTATAATTTAATAAAGAAACGGTCGCGCTTCTGTTTTTAACCGGTCTCCTGCTTTCCCACAGTCTAGTCAGTGCATGAAAGGGTGTGGAGGGCGTGGCTGACCTCATACCCAGATTATAGAAGACATGGCCAGTCCTCGGAGTGGGAGCTCGAGGTCTTCCGCTGGGGGCTGACATACGTCCTGTTTTTGGGTTCCTGGGGGATGTTTCTCCTCAGCAACGCACATTGTCACATTGTCACGTTAACTCACGTAAGATCTAGACACTGCTGAGCCCAATGGAAAGCTACTAGCTCCACTGTGCTGAGCCAGGCAGCTAGAAACAGGAAGTCCTGCCCCCAAGGTGGAAGAGGCTGGTAGCCTAGGTCTCAACCTAGAGTTTGGAAAGAACTCCCAAAGCATGGAGTGTTTTGACTCGTGGGAAGCAGGGTCCTTGTACACGGGGCAGCAACAGACTCCAGAGTTAGTTTTCAGGACTAACTCTGTCAGGCCTGTCTCCTTGTCATCCGTCCTCAGTTTCTTTTGTTTTGTGACAGTCTTACTATGCAGCCCTGGCTGGCCTGGAATTCACATAAAGCTGCCTGCCTCTGCCTACCAAATACTGAGATTAAAGGCCTTTTTTTTTCTTTCTTTTTAAGTTTCATTTTGTTGGCATAGGGTCTACCTTGTAGCCAAGGATGATGACCCAGACCTCACTGGCCCAAGCAAGTAAGCTTCAGTGGACTCCACCTTCCAAAGTCTAGACTGCCAGACACACGCCACTGTTGCTAACACCTTGGTCTCTCTTGAGTTTTCCTTGCTACAAGATTCCTGAATTATTCCATCTCCATAGACGCTTGCCTTCATTTTTTGTAGTACAGAATCTTGGGGGGAGGAGGGTCTTTGAAGATGGGAAAGCATCCTGTTGTCCGGGCTAGAAAGACCACCACTCAGCAATTATGAGTGCTTGTTGCTCTTCAAGAAGACCTGAGTTTAGTTTCAAGCATCTAGCTTGAGCAGCTCACAAACCACTTGTAACTCCAGCTCCAAGGAATTCGACACCCTCTTCAGGCTTCTGAGCATTCACACACAGGTGGTGAATTTATGTCTACAGATACAGAAATAAAAATAGACATTTAAAACGAGTATCCCATTGTCATCTTCCTAGAAGATGAAAAACCATCCCAGAATGCAGATAGCGTTAGGGACTAGACAGCTTTTGCCTTCATGCTTCCTAACTTTGGCAAGTTAATGTCTTGTGAGCCTCAATTCCCTCATCTGTACAAAACGGGGAGAGCATCAAGTTTCACAAGTTGCTTTATGGAAAATATATAATACAATATATGGCATAGAATAAGGTTAACACCATGTAGCTACTATACTTTTCCACCGAGCCCTTACCCAGATCTGGTAACTTGTGGTATGGTGACACTTCTTGTGTACCTGTCCAAGAGATGCTGAACGGCTAGGATGGCAGTCTGCAGTGACTTTTTTTTTTCTCGAAGTTAATGGAAAAGAGTCAAGAAGAAACTGACTGTGGGGACGCTTAAAGTTACAGCTGTGGTTCTAGGAAGAAATGCTTGGCAGAGGGTGGGGGGAGAGAGGAGAGGAGAGGAGAGGAGAGGAGAGGAGAGGAGAGG